GTGGTCGTGGTCGGCTGCTGTCCCCGCGGGCAGGCGACGCCCAAGGAGGAGGAGGAGGAGGAGGAGGAGGAGGAGGAGGAGGAAGGAGGAGGAGGAGGGAGGAGGAGGAGGAGGAGGAGCAGGAGGAGGAGGAGGCGGAGGAGGGAGGGAGGGGTGGAGGAGGAAGGAGGGGAGGAGGAGGAGGAGGAGGGGAGGAGGAGGAGGAGGGAGGAGGAGAGGAGGGAGGAGGAGAGGAGAGGCAGCGCTGCCGCTGCCAGCCCCTCTGTGCCCCCCTTGTTGCTCCCCGGGGCTCCTCGGGCGCCCTCGGCGCCACGGCCGGGCATCCTGCCATCCTGGCCAGACTTCACGAGGAGGAGGAGGAGGAGGAGAGGAGGAGGAGGAGGAGGAGGAGGAGGAGGAGGAGGAGGGGAGGAGGAGGAGGAGGAGGAGCAGGACGGGAGCAGGAGGGGAGCAGGTGCGAGGAGGGGGAATGCACGGGGAGCGAGGGAGGTCGGGGGGGGGTCCTGCTCGCTGTCATTTCTTCCCCCCGAGTGCTGGTCAGAGAGCCCACGTGTGTGCGAGAGAGAGGTCTCCCTTGAGCACCGCAGTCTGAACCAGCTGAGCATTGAAACGCCGACGTTGGAGCGGCGATGCAGAGGCAGGGGAATGGAAGGGACAATGTGTGGCAACATGTGGCACTGTACATCTCAGCGAAACAGACAGGCCAGGACCCTCGAATGCCGCCTGGCTGGCTCTGGCCCTGAATTTGGAGCAGGGGCAGGGGGGGAAACGGAAGCCAGGGAAGGGGAGAGGAGGGCGCGGAGCGGGAGGAAGACAGACCCACACGTGCAGGAAGATGCCCACCGGGGCGGCATCGTGGCCCCGCTTTCCCAGAGGGCCTGTGCCGAAAGGTGCCGTCGGCCCCACCTCCGGGGAGAAGGCAGGGGGGGAACGGAGGGAGAGACAGGAGAGCCTCACACACCCAGGGCAGGGGGGGGGGCGGGGAAGCGGTGGGTGGGAGCGTGGAGCCCCCCCCCCCCCCCATCCTGCTTGTCCGGATCCTCCACTTCCTCCCGATGCCTCCCCTCTCCTCTCGTCCCGCCTCCCCCCTCCGCGGTGTGCAGGAAGCGTCGGGGCCGCCCCCCCAACCACCATCCCCCCTCGCTCCGGCCACCCCGAGAGGATTGTCAGAGCCCCTGAGACCTTCCGGAGCACTCTCTAAAGCCGTCCTCCCTTCTTCCCCCCTTCGCCTCCCCTCCCACCTCCCTCCCTCCCTTCCCTCCCTTCCCCCCCGCGCTCCGCCCCTCCGCTTCCGTCCTCGTCTCCCTCTCCGTCCTCCTCGCTCCCCCCTCTCCTCCCCCCCCCCCCCTCCATGCCCCCTTTCCTTCCTCCCCTTCCTCCCCCCCCCCCTTCCCCCTCACCATCCCCTCCCTCCCCCCCCCCCCCCCCACCCTCTTCCCCTGCCCCCCTCGTCCCCTGCTCCCATCCTCTCTGCCAGCTCCCAGGGCGCCCCTCCGCCCCCTGCGCGCGTCCTGCCGCTGCCCCGGGGCGACAAGCCGGCCGCGCTCGATGGCTGAGGCGGACACGCCGCCGCCACGCCGCCGCCGCCGCCGCCGCCGCCGCCGCCGTCGTCGTCGTCGTCGTCGCTGCCGCCGTCGTCGTCGTCGTCGTCGTCGTCGTCGCCGTCGCCGTCGTCGTCGTCGTCGTCGTCGCCGTCGCCGCCGCCGCCGTCGCCGGCGGCAGGGCGAGGGGCCACGATCGGGGAGAGAGAGGCTGCCGAGTTCCCTGGGGCGCGCCAGTGTCTTGAAGCCGGCGGGCGGGCGTGCCGCTTCGTTGGCCGGGTCCCTGTCGGCGTCAGCGTCGGGGTCGTCGTCGGCGCCGTGGGCGTCGTCTGCGTCGTCCGCCGGCGTCAGCGGTGTCGTCGCCTCGCAGGTGTCGAGGAGGAGGAGGAGGATGAAGCGGAGGGAGAGCGAGCAGGAGGGGAAGGGGGAGGGGAAGAGGGGGGAGGAAAAAAGAACGATGGGGGAGGCAGGAGGAGGGGGGAGCAGAAAGGCCGCTCCTGTGCAGCAGGGGGGGCAGTGGCTCCCCAGAGCTTCGCTGGTTCCCGGAGGCCCGCGGAGGCATCTGGTCGCGAATGCTCAAAACTGTCGATACTCGACGGCCGATGGGGCCAAACTTAGCATCTGCCGCGGGCAGAGTTCGACCTCCAAGTCGCCCCTTCAACTCCCATCGCGCGCTTCCGAAAGCAAATTGAAAGCCTGCGCTCACCGCCGAAGACACCCGGAAGCCTCGCCCTCCGCCCCATCAACATCTTCGTCGTCCTCTTCCTCGGCGATCGCACGCTTCGTTTGTTACCCAGCCCCATCTCGCGCAATGATACCCGTTGGGCCGTCTTGGCGGCACCGCGCTGTATTCGTAATTACGTGTTCTCGGCTTTCTCCTACTTCGTTCATTGGGCACCGCGCTCTTATGCTACGCTCATCTCCTCCTTTCCGAGGTGGGGGCTTATCCATAGGATGAGGGGGAGGAGGAGGAGGAGGAGGAGGAGGAGGAGGAGGAGGAGGAGGAGGAGGAGGAGGAGGAAGAGGAGGAGAAGGAGAAGGAGCGTTGTTCCTTCTGCAGGGCTCCTGTTGGCAAACCTCTGACTGCACTCGGTGCTCGGTGTGGCAGGTCCGCGCCGCGTGGAGGCCACGTCGGCTCCAGCGCGGGCGTTCAAGGCGGAGCGCCGCGGACCGGAATCGGCCGAGGTCGAACGAGCTGCGCAATCGGAGGGCCTGGCGCGCTCGGTGCTCCCTCCTCCTCCTTCTCCTCCTCCTCCTCCCAAGCCCTTCATCCTCCCTCCTTCTTCTCCTCCTCCTGTCCTCTCTCCTTCTCCTCATCCTTCATCCTCCTCCTCCTCCTCCTCCTCCTCCTCCTCCTCCTCCTCCTCCTCCTCCTCCTCATCCCTTCCCCCCCAGAGGCGGAATTCGACTTCTACGACGCGCTCAACCTGCAGCGAGGGGCCTCTGCGGATGACGTGCGCGCCGCCTTCCGGGACCTGTCGCGGGAGTACCACCCGGACAAGAGGAGCCGGGCGTGGCCAGGGGCGGCCCTGCAAGTGTTGCGTACAGTCGGGGCGTTGACCTAAGGAACCCTAAATAAGGAACGAGGCCCATTTTTCCAAAAGGTAAACTTCAATCTCCCATGAGAAACCTAAGGAAAACCCTAGGCAAACTGTAAAACAATCAAGGAACACCAAGCCCCTCCCCATCGAAAAGGGTTCCTTCTTCAGCGCCCCGACTGTATGGCCCTGAGCCGAGGCTCGAGGTCGAGGCTCGAGGCTCGAGGGCGTCAGGTGTGATTGTCAAGTGGTTCTGGGGCCTCGTTGAGCCCCGCGCTGGGGCCTCTCGCCGCCGCGGCTGGAGCCTCCTCGAGGCAGTGGCCAGCGCGCAGCCCCAGTCCGAGCGTCGACTCTGGAGCTCCCGGCTCCCGGACAGCTGGCGGGTGGTCCGGGCGCTGCCAGGGGCGGCCCCGGCCCACAGTGGCCCAGCTCTCCCTGGACGCCCCAGAGGGTTTCCAGGCGGGAGGAGGAGGAGGAGGAGGAGGAGGAGGAGGAGGAGGAGGCGGATAAGGAAGATGAAAAGGAGGAGGAGAAGGATGAGGAGGATGAGGAAACATGACGATCAGAAGGGGTGGTGGTCAAAATCCTGCACCTCTCACGGTCGGACCGAGGTGTAAGATCGAGGTCGGCTCGGGCGGGGTAGTCTCGTTCTCGGCCGGGCCTCCCAGGTGGTGTCGGAGCACCGAGGGGGTCGGAGGATCGCACCGCATGGCTGATGCATCGCCATGCGGCTCGATGTGAAGCCCGATTTCCTCCACGCCCACGTCGCCGATGCATCGCCGACGTCGCGGATGCATCGCCGATGCATCGCCGATGCATCGACGATGCGGGGTGACCCTTCGACCCGATCTACTCCGACCCTCGAGCGATCTTCTGGCCTGGGGTGTGTTGGCCAGCGGAGGGTCTCGTGTGCTTGGAGGAGGTTATTCTGTCCTACGTAGGTCCAGCCGTATGCTCATTGCTGTGAACACCCTCCGAGCCCATAGTGCATGTTGGCGGTCTGCGCCGCGAGGTGTCGACCTGTCGACTGGCCGAAGTTCTGCGCCCCGCTGGCGATGCCAACCAGCACTGAATCGGGGGCAGGGGGGCGCGTGGAAGTTTGCGCCGGCGCCCCGATCGCGCCGGGGGTGCAGGATGCTGCCCATCAGCTGGAGCACCTCCCACGAGGCCTCAGGGGCTCCGAGCTGGGACGTCGGAGGAGGACAACTAGGCAGATCCGCCTCGCCGCTCCACCTCCCCCCTCCCAGGAGGAACCGTGGATGGACGAAAGAGTGGAGCCCTTGACACCGCGCCTCCCCCCTCTCCCCCCGATTTCAGAGTCGGCCTCAAGCACTCGGCAGCACAGGCGCGAGCGGACAGCAAAAAGCG